TAGAACAAGACAGGTGGCACTGGCAGTGGCCCTGGTAGTGGTAGTGGCAGTAGTACTAGTAGTAGTAGTAGTAGTAGTAGTAGTAGTAGTAGTAGTTGTAGTAGTAGTAGTAGTAGTTGTAGTAGTAGTAGTACATAGTAGTACATAGTAGTAATAGTACAAGCAAAAGTGCGAGTGCGAGGATGGGCCGGAGCAAGAGCACGAGATGCACAGCACGAGTATGATCTTCAGAAGTTCTACTGTTACTTGCCGTGACAGCAGCAGGCGGAGACTACTGCAGTGTGCCTGGCCGAGCACTGCGGCAAGTGTTTCTGGAACCAATACTGGCCCTAAGACCGTTGCAATGGCTCGGCTTACCCATCATACCAGGACTCACGCCCGAGCTTGATAGAAGCCTAGAAACCAAGAAGACCAAAAGCCTTTTTAAAAAGGGGACCCCCAACCGCCAAAGCCCTACAGCAGCCGTTTAAACCTTCGACCACGAAGCCCAACAAGCAGAGTGCAGAGCCGAGGTCAAGGCAAGTTGACCAGCGAACTCCGTGAGCCAGTGTGTCAGCCCCATACCTCGCTGCGAAGTGGGCTTTAGGGTTCATTGAAGGGGCTCTTTGAGGATATGTACATGCATAGCATACACACGCATACATGCGGACATACATACATACATACATACATACATACATACATACACATGCACACTAAGCCCCAGACGTGTAATCCCCAGGCTTGGCAGAGCGGACAAGTCTCAACGCGCCCTTGCGAAGCCTCGATGCCAAAGCCCAGCGGCGGCGGCAACGCACAAATCTAACTAGCACAAGGCTAGCCAGGGCTTGTCAACAAATAACACACTTGAACTAGAGCATCGCAAGAGTACGAATCATATTGCGGACATAACAGTTGCATCAAATCAGGTTGGTCGCAAGAGCGGGGATCAGAGTTACGGGGATACGCAAGCAAAGACTAAATCAGCTTACTGCGGTAGCTCTGGCTACGGAAGGCAAGATACCATGAGTCCAGCATATCTGTGAAGTATAGGGTCTTGTTGCATGTAGGGTGTCGGACTTAGAAGTTGAGCTGCATTCGGCTGCTCCAAAGTAACTACGCACATGCAGTTCAGTCAGACTGGAACATGTTCTGATGCATAAATCATGATCTCCCACTATCTGATCATCCCAGTATGATCAACTTCACATCCCAAACTCATCAAGGCGGCTCAGCTGTGGATGTCCTGCGTAAGAACAGCATGTGTGTGGTGGAAACTTGAGCCTCCGCGCCTGCGGAGTCGTGTTGGAAACTTCACATCCAATGGGTTTAGGGGTCTAGGGTTTAGGGTTTAGGGTTTGGAGTCCAAGTGCTTCCGCCGACAGTCCCAACGGCAGATGCTGCAACCATGAACGAGGTCTTTCCCTGTGTTGCATCTCTCACATCATCTGCTGGGTGCTCGGCCGGCACATGCCTCCGCATAGGCGCCTCCCAAAATCTAGGCGTGTGGCGAGAATGCACATGGCTTAAGGCCGAAACCACACGTGACAAGCTACGCATTTTGCCAGGTTCCCAGAAAACCTTAACTTTGTGAAACCGGACTTGATGACTGCCAGCATTGCCTGCCAGAAAACCACCCAAACACTCCGCTTCAACCCCGAAAGCCAAGTTGCTGTTCGAAGGGGGGCAAACATTCCAGAACAGTCCACCATCTCCTTAAACACGATATCCCTAACGCTGGACCACCTACTAATCACTTTTCAAACGACAGCCGGTTGCGTACCAAATGCACCTGCAAAATCAGAGCCATGCAGGGAATCAGATCGGACGACGCTACGCAGCCCAGACTGCGCATCCAACCGAGCATCGGTGTGCAACGAGAGCTGTTGCAGATGTGAGCAATAGCCTTATGATTGTGGCTGCACCCATGAAAGCATCGACACTTCGTCGTGAAAGCGTTTCCACGCAGCGAGCCTACTCAGAACGTCCCAACACAGGAGGACCAACGTGATGAAACCCAATTTTCTCACTCGGGATCCTACAGTCCTACAATTTCCAGATGCCAGAGTTTGATTCAACATGCACAGGTTCGGAGTCTTGATGCTTTGAGTCAGAAGGGTAGAGGGGGACAGCACCCGAAAAGAAAAGTGCTCATAGAGGTATAGGATTTAGGGCTATGAAAAAATATTTGGTATCTAGGTGTTTATAGAACATACCGGTGATGCTTCTTCAGAATTGTGGGCGGTAACCTGATCCCTAAGTCCTTGTCAGTGTACGAAAAAGCTTGTCGTTGTGGTTGGAAAGCTTGTCAACGTGCACCTAAACCCTGTCGTGGAAAGGACCGACTCCGAGAAAAGTGTTCAGATGAAGCTCCTCGAGATATCAAACCTCTCTACCCTGCACATTAGCGGCCCAGGCTGTTACAACACGGCCAAGGTAGCAGGAACACAAATCTCTTCCCCCTCGCCTTCCGGACAAAAATTCGTAGAGCTCTTGCCACAACGAATAAAGCTTTCCTCGAATTGGAGATACCTCCGCACCCGCGGCCCCCAAAAGTAGCGGTCCACGCCACAAGCTGCCCAGGCCTCTGTTTGGCCAGCGTGGGCTTCCAGAGGCCCTGAGCACTTGCTGTGTCAATCAAGATGAGGCCTGAAACCCAAAACTCGAGGGCCATGTACATTGTAGGGGCCTTGATGCCTTAATATACTTACAAGTCATACAGATTGCTTCGAGGCTTCTACACATAATGAGGATTACCTAATTGTGCTAAATAATTTCATCAGGCTTTTAACAGGGCGTAAGGACAGAAAAGAAGCTGAACCCAAAATAAACCCCAAACCCGAAACCCTTCTGCTACTGGACTCAAGTCTAGCCAAACCCCACTCTCTCTCTCTCACCGAAACCCAAAAACCCCAAACATCCCTAAACCCTAAAACCTAGCCAAACCCCTAAACCCCTGAACTGGTTCCCC